AGGGGGGGCTGCAGCAAAGAAGAAAGAGGGGGGGGGGGAAAGAAAAGATCCAATTGCTGCTTGCTGCCAAAAGTGGTTTAAAGCAGCAGCAAAACAAACCCCAAATAAGGGGAAGAGAGCCCCGGGTGTATGTACACCGCGGCGCCGCGGGGGCTTCGCCGCGGACGCGGAGGGAGAAGCAGCAGCGCAACTTGCTGCTGCTGCTGCTGCTGCTGCTGCAGCTGCAGCGGCGGACCCGGCGGCAGAAGCTGCTGCTGCTGCTGCTGCTGCTGCTGCAGCGCCAGTCGCGGAAGCAGCAGATGCTGCTGCTGCTGCTGCGGCCGAGAGAAAACGAAGGAGGCGCCGACGCGGGAGAGAAGGCGCCTCGCAAGTCCGCAACGCGAGGGGGTGCCGATCTGCCGCGTCGTTCATCTTTTTGACGCTTTTCAGAGTTCAAAAAAAGAGAAAAGAAGAATTAAATCAATTTAAAAGAAAAATGAAAGAAATCCACCGCAAAACCATCGAGATTTCACGAAGAACGGCTCCCAGCGCCGCGCGAGGTGTCTGTACACCGCAGCGCCCCAGCCCGGACTCCGCGAACTTCCTTTTCCACTTTTCCCCTTTTGCAAAATCTCGAAAAAAGGAAAAGAAAGAAATAAAAGGGAATTAAAGAAGGATTAAAGGGAACTGCAGCGCAGCGGCTTCTGTGCATGCGCCGGCGCTGCTGCTGCTGCTGCTGCTGCTGCTGCTGGGTGCTGCTGGGGCTTTTATTCGCTTAGTCTTCGCCAAATGGACCTTTACAAATCCCAAACTTCCCAAATTTCAAAGAATTACAAACTTTTGAAACTCCAAAAAACTCCGAACGTGGGGCATGCAGCCCCAGCTGATCGTGTCCCACGATCGCTGCTGCTGCTGCTGCTGCTGCTGCTGCTGCTGCTGCTGCTATTCTTCTGGCGCCACAAGTGGGAGAATGCGCGTTTAATGGAAGATTTAGTAAGAACTTTCAATTCAATTTGAAAGGGAACTCAAACAAACTTCAAATGAAAAGAATTAAACGACTTTTAGTCCACAGCCCCACACCCTGCATGCACGCAGCAGCGGCTCCCGGGTGTACGTACACCTGAATTTGGGGCCATTATTTTCCCCGGAAATTATCCAATTAAAGCGCATGCAATTTATTCATTTAATTCTTTTCTTTTAATTCTTTTCATTTAATTCTTTTTTTTTAATTCTTTGAGGAGTCACTCATGTTAATTTCTAAATCTAAAAATGAATAATTTCAAAAACTGTCCATGTGGCAATTCTGCTGCTTTTCCTCTCTTGTATTTCAAATTCAAATAATGGAATTATCTTTTTTTGTTTACAGAAGTTCTACTGTCTCCAATGCCCTAAACCCTAAACCCTAAACCCTAAACCCTAGTCTCTAAGTCCTCAACGCTCTCCTACCTCTCTGTGCAAAGGCGTTTGTTCAGCTGGGCAATTCTCGCTTTCCCCCAAACCCTAAACCCTAAACCCTAAACCCTAAACCCTAAACCCTCAATTCAGGAGGAGAAGAGAAAGCCCTCAAGAGTTTTGCAAACGAAAAAGGAAAAGAAGTTTTAATTCGAGACGCTACAAAGCCCCAAAACTCCAAAAAGAAACTAAACAAAATGCCCTGTGCATGCAAAAGGCGAATGCATGCATTAATAAAACGCATGCATTCTTGCAAGCCCCGCTCTTGCATGCATTGGTAGAATGCATGCACTGCTATAATGCATGCATGCACCAATAGAATGCATGCATGCATCCATAGAATGCATGCGTGTATAAATGGCATGCATGCATGCATGCATGCATTGACAGACTGCATGCATGCATTAACAGTGATGGACTGCATGCGTGCATGCATGCAGCCCATTAGTTAGCATGCATGCATAATTAAACTGCATGCATGCATAAATAAACTGCATGCATGCATCTCCAGACTGCACGCAGGCACACTTGTATGCCTTTCTAGGCCACACTCTGCGCACGCATGCATGCATTAACGCATGCATTAATGCATGCATTTATGCATGCATTAATGCATGCATTGCATGCATGCATTAATGCATGCATTGCATGCATGCATTAATGCATGCATGCATTACTTTGGGGCTTTTTTTGGGCCCCACAGAGCCAGGCTGTGTGGAGTAGTGGCCTGTTGAGTTTGCATGCAACAATGCATGCAACTTTTGCGTTTTTTGTTCATTTTTTTTCGTTTTTGTTGCATTTTTTTGCAGGATTTTGAATGGTTGTTCTTTTGCGACTTATTTGTCTTCAATTTGCGCCAAATTGCATTTAATTTCGTTTTATTTTCGCAAACTTTCCGCAAAAAGTTCACGGCAGCGGCACGAAGCTGCTGTGGTCCGCCACGCCCTTCCACATTCGCTCGTCGCCCTTTATGGTGTACGTGTCGTAAATCTTCGCCGGGTTGAACTGAAAAGAAAACAAATAAATAAATAAATAAATAAATAAATAAATAAATAAATAAATAAATAAATAAATAGAAGAATAAAAGAACAAAAGAATAAATAAACGAATAAATAGCAAAATAATGATTATAATTCGGAAAAACGCCGAAAAAAGAGCGAAAAACGAAGGAAATTGAGCGAGGGTTTAGGGTTTAGGGTTTAGGGTTTAGGGTTTGGCTCACGACCTCCCATCTGGAGGCGGGGAAGATGTGTTTGTTTCTTTCAAACCACTTTTTGTCCACCACTTTTCCTGCATGCGAGTCTTCTTTTTCTTTTCGAATGTCCGAAAAAACTCGAACATCATCGAAAGCCCCGAAGTGAAACAAAGGCCCCGACTTGCCCCGCGCTTTGCTTTTTATCAACTCGAAAAACGTTATGTGCTGCACGCCCGCAAGCGCCCCAACACCCAGCTAGCTGTGGCTAGCTACAGCTAGCTACAGCTAGCTGTGGCTAGCTGTGGATAGCTGTGGATAGTTGTGGCTAGCTGTGGCTAGCTACAGCTAGCTGTGGCTAGCTGTGGGCAGTTGTGGCTAGCTGTGGGTAGTTGTGGCTAGCTGTGGGTAGTTGTGGCTGGCTGTGGCTAGCTGTGGCTAGCTGTGGGTAGTTGTGGCTGGCTGTGGGTAGTTGTGGCTGGCTGTGGCTAGCTGTGGGTAGTTGTGGCTAGCTGTGGGTAGCTGTGGGTAGCTGTGGGTAGCTGTGGGTAGCTGTGGCTAGCGTGTCAGACCCACGTCAGGCCAGCTACCAACCTGGCAAGCTAGCCAGCTAGCTAGCTAGCTAGCTAGCTAGCTAGCTAGCTAGTTAACCAGCCATTCGTGTAGTCCGACCAGACAGCTAGCTACCTAGCTAGCCCAGCTACCCACCCAGCCACCCACCCAGCTATCTAGCTAGCTAGCTAGCCACCCAGCCGCCCACCCAGCCACCCAGCTAGCTAGCTAGCTAGCTAGCTACCCCCAGCTAGCCACCCATCCACCCCCCAGCTACCG